CGATGGTGATGGTGGTGATGATGATGATAAAATTGTTTTTAAATTGATTGTGCGCGAAAGATCTCATCAATGTTACAAAAATAAATTAATTTTATTTAAATAAATTCGTAGGCCATAATGAATGGGAAAAAAAGAAAAAGGGGGGGGGGAAGAAGCAAAATTTTTAAATTTTTTTTGTAAATAAAACCAACGGGAAAAAATTTAATAATAATAATAATTAAAAAATGATTAAAGAAAAAAAAAAAAAAACATTTGTTAGAAAATTATAATAATTTTTATATAATTAATATATATATATTTCTCTAATACCTATTTTTGAAAAATATTGATTCGTGTTTATTTAAAACAATCAATCAATCAGTGAATTAATAAACGTACATCGGACGTCCATATGATCCGGAAAAAAAAAATAAGTAAATAAGATCGAAATGGGAATAAAAACGGAAATTGTATGTAAATCGATAACTAAAAAAATTATTAATTAAATAAAATTCTTTAAATGGGAAAATTAAATTATCATTATCATCATCATCATTTTTTTTTGTTTTTTTGTAAAGAAAAAAAATTGTTGATAGAAAAAAAATGATGGCGGTGATGATGATGATGGTAAATATAAGTAAATAAATAAATAATTTGAAAATTAAATCAATGAGTCAATCAATCAATCAATCAATCACTTATAATAAAATCCCAAAGAAGTGAGTGAGAGCCTAGAAATTTTTTTTTTTTTTTTTATAATGTTTATGTGTGGGGGAAGGGGAATCTTAGTAAATCCGGACTCTCTTCTCTGTATTTATTTTTTTGTAATAATAAACGGTTTGTTTTATAAATAAAAATTATTCATTTTCATATTTTTAAGTGTTTTATTATTATTATTATTATTAAGTGTTTGTATGTATTTTTTAGGCGTGTTGTAAAACAACGTGGATATAAATTTTGTAAAAAAATTCTCTTCTCTCTTATTATTATTATTATTATTATTATTAATTTTATTTTACGTTTAATTATTATTATTATTATCGGTTCGGAAGTTAGTTTTTGAAATTTTCCAGAATTTTCCGATTTTGTGAGAATAAATAGTGGAATGTGATCAAGACCAAAGACGTTTCACAAGACGACGAGATGGATATGAATTCTTTTGGAGGTTTCCGTCGGAGTTTCCTGTCCGGATTTGGTAAACCGGAAATGGTAGTACTTCTTCCGGTTCTGCGGTGTTTCTTATTATCTAAAGGTAAGAAGAATACTACTCGATTAATTGATACAATTTTTAAAATTATACTTAAGGATGAATGAACTTTCATCTGTAATAAAGAATGGATGCTTTTGGGAGGGGGGAGTGCGCGTGTGATTACACCATTAAATTATTATCATTATTATTATTAAAAAAAGGAAAATTATTCGAAAAACCCGATTAAAATACTTTCGAATATGATTTTTTTTATTATTAAATTGGGTTCTATTGAAAAAATTTATTATAAATTAAATTTAGTTTTTTTTACCCCTCCCTCTCCTCCCCCCGGAAATGAAAACGCGAGAAAAATTTATGAATAAAAAATTGGGAGGGAAGAAAAAAATTTATTAAAAAGTTAAATTTTTCTTTTTTGGTTTTATCGTGGGGGGGGGGGGGGAAAGGGAAGGCTGTGGCAAAGAAAAAAAGAAGCGGAAACGAAAAAAAAAATAAAAAATTCAAGAAAGCAACCGGAAACGTGTGAATAAAAATGAAAAGAAAAATTTAGGGGGTGGGGGTGGGAGTGGAAAAATATTTTAAAGAAAAAATGGTTTAACTATTGCCACTACATCGTGTCAGGCATTTATTTTTCAATTGAAAAAAAAAAAAAAAAAATTAGAAACTGACGTGAATAAAATGATTAGATTTAAAAAGGAACATGATTCAATCATCGAGAGAAAAAAAAAATTTACACGTTAAATCCGCGCTTCTCCTTTTATTTATTTTCCCTTAAAATTTTCTTTCCTTTTTCTACACGTACTAAATTTTTTTTTTTTTTTTTTGTTTCCTATTTCGAAAATGATAAAAGAAAATGATTTGATAAAATGTTATTATTATTATTATTATTATTTGTTTTTAAAAACGTGGATTTAGACAAAAATCGGACAATATTATTTATTTTTTAGATTAATTTAAACCCACAACGTGAAACAACAACAACAAAAAAAAAAAAAAAGATTTAATATCACGTTTTACAATTTTCTTTTTAAAAAAGATGGAGAAAGTGAAATACGTCACGTACGAAAAATAAGAAAAAAAAAAAAAAAAAGGAAATGGAAAAGTTGAAAGGTGCCCAGATTCTTCTTCTTTTTCTTTTTCTTCTTCTTCCTCTTCGATTTGGATTTGTTGTTGGTTTTTCTTTCCTTTTTCTTTCCTTTTTTTTTCCTTTTCTCACGTATCAATATTTTTTTTTTTTTTTAATTTATTTTTCTCAACCGACAGGAAAATTCTTTTTTTTTTAAAGTTTAGTTTTGATTTACTCCTCCTCTTCTTCCTCCTTCTTTTTCTCCTTTTTCTCCTCCTCTTCCACATCCTCTTTCCCCTCCTCTTCCACATCCTCTTTCTCCTCCTCTTCCACATCCTCTTTCTCCTCCTCTTCCTCTTCTTTTTTCTTTTTCTTTTCGTCTTTTTTCTCCTTTTTCTCGTCGACTTCCCCCTCCTCCTCCTCTTCTTCCTCTTCTTCCTTCTTTTATTGGTGTAAATTTGGGTGATTTTTAGTTTCTTTTTTTCTTTTTTTCATTGGTTCACACATTTTGGTTACCATTTAATTTTCATTAATTTTTTTTTTTCAACGATAATAATAATAATAACGAATCGTTTTCTTTCCTAACGTTTCGTGCCCTGTTGCTGAAGAATTTTTTATGACGTCATTTTAACGAAAGAAAAAAAACAGGAAATGTCATTGGGGTCAACCGGAAATGTTTTTTCAATTTCATTTTTACCCCCCCCCCAAGAATGAAATTTTTTTTTTTAAAAGAAAAGAATTCATGGGGACAAAAAAAAAAAAAAAAAAAAAATATGTTCACACGAATTTTCAAAAAAGCAGACGACGTTTTTTTTTTTTTCTTTTTTTTTCATCTTTTCTTTTTCCGGAAATAAATTTAATAATTTTCCAGAAAATTGAATAACAAATATTTAAACCGTCGAGTGTCATGTTTTTAAGCAATGAATCATAATCGGTTTATATCATTTTCTTTTTTTTTTTTCTCCATAAAAATATTTCCAGGTTTTTCTTTTTTTCCTTTTTGTTATTTTTTTTTATTCATCGATTTTTCCTTTCGTCGGTGGTGTGTAAAAAAAAAAAAAAAAAAAGAAAATTTTTTTTTTGCGGGGGGGTTTTCATATCGTTATCACGGATGCTTTGTTAAATTTCCAAAAAATTTGTAATTTTTCGGTTTGGATCAACGATCACAAAATCTGTACGATCAACAAATCCACACTGACGGAATTGTGCCAGCCAACAAACCGGATATCATCCTGTGACATGATTCCGAAAAATGGTTGCAAACTAATTGAAGTATCCGTACCGGCGGAGAAAAACACCAGAGAGGTAATGGTCAGGATGTGGGGAGTAAAAACAGAAACGATTCCGGTCATCGTGGGAGCATCATTGGGAGCCATGCCACCACTCTCAATAAAAGGAAATAAAAGAAAAAATTGTACAGGAAGTAAAACGTCCGACATTCATCGACAGTACCATCTTTTAAAAATTTTCACGCGTCCATTTTCCTTTTTTTTTTTTTTTTTTTTTTTTTCAATTTACTTTTTCTTCCCGGAAAAAAAAAAAAATTATTTTCAGAATGAAAAAGGAAGAGTAAGGGATGGGGGGGGGAATAAAAAGAAAAAGACGACAGCAACAGCAACAGCGTTGAATAATTTATAAAATAATAATTTGTATAAGATTGTTAGAGTTAAATTTATGAAATTTAATACCGGTTAATTGTGTTACCTAAAAAAAAAAAGGGAAAAAGAAAAAAAAAAAAATTTAGAAAAACGTGAATGGATTTTCAATTGAATGTCACACCAACCGATACGGTTGCCATTAAAAAAAGGAAGGAAAAAAGGAAACTTTCGTTTTTGCAAGAGAGTTAGTGAGAGAGAGAGAGAGAGAGAGAAAAAAGGAAAAACCCTGCAGACGTAAATTTAATGATTCCAATGGCGTTTTTCTTTTTGTCCCGTAAAATTTTATTACATTAAGACCAAAGAGAGGAAATTTTGTTCACTGAATTTTCCTTTTTTTTTTCCTTTTTTCCTTTTTTTCCTTTTTTTTTTTTTGTAGTCAAGCTGCGAAACTAAAATAAAAACAAGTTTTTATATTATTA